CCCAATGCTGCCTGGCCTGAGTGCAGCCACTGGGAAGAGACTGATGCAGCCCTGACACCAAGCGTGCAGTCTGCTGTCGTTCCATGCACAGATCCGGGGGAGGAGTACATGCCCCCCATACCTCCCCTGGGGGTGCGCACAGCAGCAGGAGCTGCTCTGCCTCCCTGCGCCCCACAGTTGAGCCTCCAGCTTGATCCTGCACCCCACCCCAGCCTGGTTGGGCAGTGCCTGCCTCAGCCCAACTCCCTCTCTCACGGTGGGGGCCTTGATCTGTCCAACCATGGCCCTTTGCCCCTGCACAGACTTATCAGTTGGATGCTGCTTTCCAAGCTGCATTCCTGGCTGTGTGCATGCATGCGGCATTTATCGCCAGCATTATTGGCCACATCAGCCAAAGAAGGCCGATTGCCAATAATGTCAATTTTCCTTTTATTGGTACTGATACGATATGAACCAATGTACCAGTGCACCTCTACTACTAAGTGATTACATACACACAAAAAAAACTAGGGCAGGTAACCAAGCTGAATGTCAGGAAGTGTTGAGAGGCACAAGGAGAGATAGAGAGAGGGACAGACCTGGTAGGTAGATCTACAGTTAAGGTTGCCCAACACTACATTGTGAGCTGCTGCTTATAAGCTTGGTAGATATATATCATTTAGGTTGAAATTTTGTTATGCTTTTTGTTTGTCCAAGGCTAGATTTTTCTTTTAGTGGTTTAGTGCACATGGTTTGTCTATTACTGAAAATAAAGTTGAAGGAAAATAGTTTCACCGGTGTTTAAAAAAAAAAATAAAAATGATTCAACTTATTTAAAAAAAAAAAAAAATTAAATAATGGCTTTCTGATTTTGGAGCCAGTACTTAATATTTGGTTGGAATATGGTCCTGGGATTAGAAAAGCACATTCCTGCGTCCTAGGTAGTAAACTAACCTTGAGTTGATTTATAAACATTCTGAAAAATTATTTCCAAAGGAATGGAATCTATAAGCCTCTTCCACTTCTACTATGATCCTGCCGTAGTATTTCTGTTTAAACTTTATATTGAAATTCATTACTCCTAAAATTGGAACAAATGAATATTTCGCTTCGTGCACTACTTGTGAACAAGCTCAGTATTTGTTTCAGAGCTAGGTAAATATTATAAAACACACAATTCGGGCATAATTTGGGTGTGCGCTGCCATGTTTAGTGATCTAACAAGTGCTAAATTACAAAGCTGGTAAGTGACGTACTTAAGGTGGATGATTTGTTAAGGTGGCACGTGACAGATTTCAAGAATATCTAATCACCTGAGTCATCTAATTCCCAAATCTATCATACTTGCTTGAATCCAAGAAAAGGATTTTTTTCCCCAATCGGCACTGGGGGAGAAAAGCCTCATCTTGGATTTGAGTGTGATCTGGGGCAAGCAGCAGCTCAGCGCTGACTTTGGCCCCAGGCTTGGGGTTGAAACAAGAGCTGAGCTGCTGCTTGCTGTGGACCAGAATGGCTTGTTTGGCAGAGGAGGGGCATGTGGCTGGGGGGATGCGGTAGTGGGGGAGGACTACAGCCTGTCCCTGGCCTCCCCCAGCTCTGCAGCCTGCCTTCTCACCTCCTGCTTCCCCCCCATCTAGTTACCCTTCTCCCCCCCACCTTACCTTCTGCTCCACTCCAATCCCTCCAGCCCTGGCCCAGCTGGGAACTTCCACCGCTTCCCCCTGGCCAGGTTGGGGCAGCCTCTTCTGCTGCTGATTGCCCTGGAGCCAAAGCAGAGCTGCAGCAGAAGGTGCAGAGGGGAGAACAGAGGGTGGGGGAAGCAGGGTGTGTGGAGCAGGCAGCGGGAGGGTGCGTGGCAGGAGACAGCCATGGCAGGGCAAAGGGCAGGAGAACAAGGGGCGGGGGTCTGGCCCCCCGCCCTCCCCCTGCTGTTTTCCTCACCACAGTAGTGGGCAGGAAGAAACTGAGGTGACCTCTTACTGATTAGATTCTGTATATGGAAAATTATAAGTCTGGTGTAATTTTCCATGTATAGAATAATTATTGGAGGGGGTCCTCTTAAATATGAAGTTGTCATGGATTCGGGTAATACTTTGTCTGCATTGTTATAGTGATGTTTGTATAATATCAAGAACAGTTGGTCCCCTCTTTTTCCCCACCTCGCGGAGTCTTGACAATTGTATTGGGTTTGGAGTGAGTTAACTGTGTACTAACTTTGTTTTTCATGTACAGCACCAAATATTTAGAAAATCCATTGTGAAGTAAAACTTTCCCCTTTGCTTGGCTCCTAGGGTCTTGACAATGTTCACAAACAGAGAGTTGCTGAAGTCCTAAATGACCCTGAGAGCATAGAAAAAAGGCGAAGCCGAGAGAGCCTCAACGTTGATGTGGTAAAGTACGAGAGTGGGCCTGATGGAGGCGAGGAAGTGAGTATGAGCGTAGAGTGGAATGGGGTAAGTACAGTACACAGTTTAAGAGACTAGCCTAGGCAATAAGCCACTATATCAAACTTGTCCAGTCATCCTTCCATTGTTTTTAGTAGTTTTACTAGTTTATTTACTTTGCAATTTTTCAGAATCAATTAAAAATTAAAGAACAAGACTTTGCTTTTTGTAAGTTGTTTACCTTTTATTAACACTTTCAATTTGATACAGTTTTCTGTTGTTAGTGGTGAAATTTCTTTAGGGATATCAACTGGCTGGAGTTAACTCTGAGCATTTAAATGCTGATTGAATGTCCTGGTTATTGTTTTTCTTAGTAGTAGCAATAGATTGGCAGTTACCATACTTTTGCTGCTTTATCTTTGCTTCTTGTCTACATGTTTCCATTTCACTGATAACCTTACAGATGCTGCTGTGGAATTACTTTACTTTAGATTGGCATGGAAAAATATAACATCAAAATATTTTCAAAATCCTTGCCCTTTTTTTGCTCTCTTTTTAGAATTGGACTTAAAAATTATTCCAGTGACTTCTTTCAAATTTCTGGGAGGAAACTTCTCCATTCCTTTCAGTCCTGACGTAAGGATGATGCATAATCTGCTGCACAGTTGGCCACTACAATTTCATGAAAATAACTGTACATCCCTGAAATGAAATGGTCACATCAGTTTTCAATGTAGCCTGGTAAAATTTGCAGCTTAAGTAGAGGGCTTATTCTGGCTTGTGACTTCTGACACTAATGCATATTGTGTCACACAAGTTAGAATAATATAAATGTTCTAAAATAGAAGCGATGTTTGTAACGTGTGACAAGCTGTGCATTTTCTATGTTATTTCTCATTCAAGTGAAGATAATCCAAGCTTTTACATGTATAAATCTGGTTTAATTAGTTGCTTCAGCCGTTGTGTTTTTCTAGTGCATATTCCATTGCTACCAGTGGGATGTATGTGGATAGGCTGCACCATCTGCTAATTAAACCTAATTTGTGTTTTCTGCTAAAAACCTTGACCTGGTCTGTTAAATTGCGTATTAATAATGCTTGTCTGACTGCCTTTGCTTTTGCTCTAGAGGGGTTAGCCTGTACTGCGAACTTGAAATGAGCTTCCGAGGTATTCTCTTACAATAGCCCCAGCTCTCCAGTCCCCTGTGACTAGATTTAGGATTCTAAAAATACTTGGCAAAAACTCAGACTTACTGGACCTGAGTGGAGAGTGTTCTCTGTCTGTGCTTTTGTCATTTATCAAATGACGTTTTCTTGGCATTGGTATTTTCTCAGTGCCAAGACAGTCAATCAGCATCTATTGTGAATAATTAACATTGCATCATCATCAAAAAAAAAAAAAAAAAAAGGTTGGATAGCTCCTTTTATCTTAATTTTACCCACTCAGTGTTAGAACTGTGTACTGTACTCCTCCCTAAATTTCTGCCATACTTTGCATGACTTTGTATGTTCTAAATGAATTAAACCCTTATTTCTACTATTTGCTTTTAATTAAAACAAGCATGCAGGGTTGGGATTGATAAAGGACTTTTCTCGAAAAATACTAGGCAGTATTTCTAGGTCAATACTTGATGCCCATAGTGCTAAAAATTTGGATCTGAAGGGTGAGTTTGTCCATCGAGACTGGTATTAAGGGCTAGAATTTTTACAAAGTCTGGTACTTTCTGCGTTTGCTTAACATATGTGGTATAACTTTTTTGATTTACATGGGACTGTTCACATTCACATTTTCTTCCTCACTTTGGAGGTAGTTTGTTCAAACAAACTCCTTCCCCTTCTCCCTGTTTTCTACCTCAGTGCTGTTCTCTTCTATACCTGTAGGGTATGCTTTACCTTTTCCTTTCCTCTGTTCCCTCCTTGCAAATATTCTACTTGGCAAGCAGGAAAAGCTGCTGAAGTTCTGTTGGTAGGCAATTTCTTCTATTTACAGAGTCTGAAGAAACAGCCTGTTTTGGTTAATATTTAAGTACAGATGCACATCAGAAGTTGGCCCTTGAACTTGGCTGTCCAATAAAACCAGAGGGGTACTTTCAGAGTAGTTGAGGCATCTTGCAACCTTCACTGAAAAAACTTCAGTTGAACATATGTAACATACTCGATATATGTCGGGTAAATACTGTACACTTTAGTGCAGCCTCTTCTAAATGCAGTGAGAAAAGAAACTGAAATTTCTATTTTAACCTAAAATATAGGTAAATACTAAGTCACATTATTTAGTGAAATTGAAAACTTGTATCTCATGTTTATGTATTTTTAGAGCTGGTTCCATAAAAAGAGACTATAGTCAATATTTTAGTTTGAAAATAATGTGAAAGGTAACTTTAAAATGTTTATGAATGTAACTTTTATGCTGTTTTTCAGCCTGAGTGTTTATTCCTTTTTATGTTCCTAATGCAACCTGAGAGGCATAGATTGTCCAGTTGGCTCTAAGGCTGAATTATGCCAGCTAAATTAAGGGCTGGTAATTTAGATTAATTTTTTTACTTTGAAAATGTCTGTATAAGGAACAGTGTGTCATCTTATTTACAATATACATAATAGCTTTAAATTTAGATTCAGATTCAGAATTACTGGATACTGGTTGACTTATTTTAAGTCTGCTATCTTTTTATATTAGAGTTCACCTCGTTTAGATTAAGCTGAATCTGTGTTATCAGGTAAAGTTTTGATCGAAACGGCAGGTACAGGCACTGGTGTATTTCAGTACATCCTGCTGGGGTTCACTCTAGTTCCTAGAGACAGATGTCCTTTTTACCAAATCAGCGTCTTCAATATCCTTTACCAGAACGGTGAATAGGAAGCCTAGAGGTTGACCTACCCAGTCACTTGTTTAGCTGGTTGCTTTCAGCTGAGATTTGAGGCTTTTTAGGTAGTGCAGTGTTGGGGAGGCTTGTGCTACAGTATATCTTTTTTCTAGATTACATTTATAAAAATATACCTGTGACCAAATCAACAATTCCTTTGAGTCCTGTTGCCTTAAAGCTGTAAGTAGAATTTTGTTTGGAGGGATATGGAAAATCCTCTTCCTTTTATAGTGCTGTGGGGAAAAAATCCTGGCAGAAGTTAAAGCTTAAGTGATTGCACCTTGTTCTGTTCTTTTTTTCCTTTTTTTTAAATCTTCTGTTTTTTTCCTCTTCATTTTGACATTTTATATTCTTTTTAACCTGAAAACTACTCTATCCTCCGCATATACTACACACAAATATATTTGTAAAAACAATCTCTGGTTAATTTTTTCCCTGTTTTGTTTTTGGTTTTGGGGGGTTTTTGTGCAAATACTAATTTAATACGAACATGGGATCTCTCTTGGTCGTTTGTTTAGTGCATTTTCCTGAAATAAAGTACATAATTTTCTGATGATTACAGAAGTCTGTAAATGGCAGCCTTTGGACATGGAGTCCCACATCTTTATTAAAAAAGCTGCCTGGGATATGACCTAGAAATACTGTAAACGTAACTGTTCAAACGTGAGAACTGTTGAACTTTTTCCCAACAGTTTCATTCAGTTTTTCTCTCTCCATTTCTGTCTGACAGGCCTAGATGCCTTTTGTGATTCTTAAACTGTCTCCTGCATGACGGGCGTGCACCATCTTCAAGCTTTAACTTCTCTCTTCAGTACTGACTGCTGTGTTTTAGCAAATCCCTTACGATTCTTGTCAGAGCTACACTTCCTTGTAAACTGGCCATTCCTTCAGTGCTGGTGCCCTTTTTTTGGTTTCCTGTTTCTGTACCTGTGTAGCTTTGCCAGATATGTATCTAGTCATACAAAATATGTTAATACAACCATTTGCTGTGTAATACATAAGTAAAAAGTAAGAATGAACTTTTAAGTAGCTGTTCACTATGAAAAAAGGTAGTTAAAAGTATCACACAAGGTATTATTAAAATGGCATGATGGTTACCTTTACAGAATAAAACGTAAAAGTAAGGCATGTTCTCCAAGTGCTTTAAATGTATTTAGAGGCCTGTTATATGGTTAACATCAATATGGAACCCTGGATGTCTTCACTTATTCTAAAGTAGCATTGCTGTTTAGTCTTTGTGTGAAATTTTGGCAATTATGCTTTTCTCTACTAATCTTTGGTGTTCAGTGATTTGTGTATTTGTCTTTCTAACTTCTAATAAACTCACTCCAACTGATGTCTGTCTCTGTCTGCTCAGTAGTACTTCCTTCTTTGACAGTTCTTCCTTTTGTACAGTAGCCATGTAGAATTTCTAGAAGTAGGAGATGATTACTTCTAATCTTACTAAGCTATTATATTTAAGAGTAAAACAATGGTTCTTTGCCAGTCAAATTGTACTTGAGTTGGAAACTTCTGTGGATCAAATAATATAGCATAAAACATGATTTTTATGTGCAGAAGAGTATCACTTTATTTCACCTTTTTTTCTGAAACATAGTGAAAGATTAATTGGAATTGAAAGAATTTGGATACAGGCTTTCTGAACATTAAATACTCACTATATTGAATTTGATGTATGGAATTCACTGAAAATACTTAGAATTCATGGCCTAGGCATTTGAACCAAGAGAAGGAAATGGCTGGTTTGTTCACACCCTGACAAAATGCTTTCACTTGGTGCTGTACTCGCCTTTCTCACGACTGCATCGTGGCTGGATGGTGGTGGTGGTGGTGGTGGTGAAAGTGCATGCACTTTTCAGATTTATTTTTAATTGTTATGAATCATATTGAACCGTACCTTGGACAAGTCTTCAAACTGCTGAAACATTTATTAGTAGGCTAGGACAAAAGCACTATTTAACCTGAGTGCTGACAGTCTGCTGGATAAAGTACAATTTATATATGGCATTATTAAATATTTAATATAATTTGGTACTGTTGCTGAGTGGTGACAGGACATAAGTATTTTAGAGTGTAGGCATATTACTCAGTTGTAGGAGAGGGGCATAAACTCTTGCAGTTTCACATTTGTTCACATTTTTTTCAGGATGGCACTGGATCTTTAAAGCGCAGTGGTTCATTTAGCAAACTTCGTGCTTCAATTAGACGCAGCAGTGAGAAGCTGGTTAGAAAGCTGAAGGGAGGAAGTTCACGAGACAGTGAACCAAAGAATCCTGGGTAATTATCTATTCTTAGCTGTACTGGAATGCTCCCAATTTGTGCCCGTTTTGTAACCTAGCACTGTGACCCAAGTAGCCTTTCTCTTGTGGCTGTCTACTTTTCCTTTGTGTAGAACTGTGCTATGTAAGGAGGTCTTGAATTCCACTTCTTTACTAAAAAGTAATATAGGGCAAATTTCTTAATCATACATTTGAAAATTCTCTAATGTTAACTGCTGGAAAATTGTGACTTGTTTTTGGTATTTATAATCCGATCTTTGACAGAACCTGTGGTTTTAGTGTGGAATACTTAATACTGTGGCAGCTGTAAGGAGAGTCTTCATTTGGAACATTTGTATATATTTTGTAGCCCTGTTACCTTTTTAGACCATCATAGTATTATTATTGTACTTTATTAAACTGCTAAATTATTTTTTTGCACAAAGTTAAAGTATGGTCAACTTAATTTATTCTAACCTCAAAAAAGATAATTGGTTCAGCAGAACCCACAACTAGCATAGCATTCAAAATGTTTCTTGTATTAAAACTGAACTTCAGTGTTGACACAGTATGGTATTAAACTCTTCTGAATGAAGAATCTTGTAATCTATACACTGAACACATCTGTTTTATGTTATTTTAATTGCCTTTCTGCTAACACTTAAATTTCCTGTTGTTAGGAATATGAAAAGGGAAAACTGCTCATACAGAAGGGGACATTATGTATTTGCCTCTGTAATCCTTAGTGTTGAAAAGTTTTCTGGGGATCAAAGCATGAATAGTTATTGTTTAAGTGCTACTTAAAGCCTAAGAAGTATTAACACTGAAAAAAATCTAAATTTCAAAAGGCAAAAAAACCTTGAAACAGGCTACACATCTGCTGAAAATCTTGAAACAGGCTACACATCTGGGTTAAATCTTGATCTCAATTAATTCAATGGCAAACATTTCCTTGACTTTCAAAGGGGCAGGCTTTCATGCCATGTGTTTTTATTATTACTTTTGATGTAATATGTCCACTAGATGCACAAAAATGTTTGTATGCAAACAGAAATATTCATCACTGCACTGTCCCTTCCACCCCCACACCCCATAGCACTCCAGTTCTAGCAGCCTCATTCCTAGCCGCTTAGTCGAATTAATTTTTTTTATACTTTTAAAACAAACTACACTGGTTCCCAGTAAAGCAGTTTGAATAGCATTCCTTTATTGAACTTCTGCCTGAAAGCATTCTAAGGAAGAGCATTTGTGGTCTTCATCCAGAGGGATGAGTAGTATATGGATCTATTCATTTATTATTAGAAATGGTTATAGTGATTTAAAATTCCATGTGATATCTGGGGCAATGATTTGGAAGCAGGTCTTCAACTAATGCAGGTCATCAGAGCTCCAGTTCTGTCAAAGAAGGTCTGCCTCACTTCCTTTTTTTTTTTTTTGTTTGCTTTTTGTTTTTGTTTTTTTTTGTAAAACATCTTGCAAACCTGTGATGAGTAATGATACCTGTTGCTATTTAATGTTTTGAATTCTCTACCTCACTGACATCTGACTTGGAAGTATATCCAACTTTACACCCAGTCAGATGATAGCAATTATTTAGTGAGCAGTTCGTTTGTGTGATGGTAAAGATATAATCCTACACTTGGTGAAGTCCATTGCAGAACTTCAGTTGAATTTATTGGTGCACAATTATGAGAGTTTGGGGGGGTTTTTTCAGTTAAGGTAGCCTGGGGACTGACTGAAATTCAAAAAATATGTAGTTCAAAGTAATGCAGAACTGCAACAGAGCTTAGTAAAAGAAATGAGCAAAAGGCCAGGCGTGGAACTAAATGAGTCTCATTCTTCCAATTTAATAGTTATAAATTGTTGCTTATTTTTATACAATTCTGTATAAACTACACAGATAGCATAGTTTATGTAATTGGTTTTTTATGAACCCATATCTTTAATTATATCCAATTACCACCTTATTCCCTAATTTTTACAATATTTAAATAATTTCTCAGTGTCTTTACAGAAGCAGGGCACTAGTGCTTGTTTCTTGAAATTAATAAGTAAATAAACTGCAGATTGCTTTCTTTTCCCCTCCTTAATCAAAGACTAAAGAGTATTTCTACAGTTTGGTCCAGTATTCAAATTTAGCTTCCTGGCTTGTAGTCTCCACTGAAAACTCTTTGTGTCTTTGATGTATTTTTGAAGCATTTAGTTTTAACTTTTGTCATATAATCTACCCACACAAATGCAGACCATTTTTTAGAGCGTATGCCACCAAATGTGTGGTGTTTATGATACTGATAAAGTGCTGCGGCAGTGTTCATAAACAAGGCTGTACTCTGGAAAACTGTGCTCATTAAAGGAAAACTTCATGAGATTTTATGTGCTTTCTCTGCGAACAATATTCACGTACACTTCTGATTTGGGGAATTTATTGTGATAAAAATTTACTTATTGGAAAGAACAGTTTGATTTTTTTTTTCCAAGTTGTAGGATGAATTTGTAAAGGTGGGAGACTTGAAATTCATCTTTTGTGACTTGTAACCAAGCAAATTCCTTGTGGAAGTCAGTGAGAATACACCATACACTCCATTTTTTGCAGAGTACAACTACTCAAAAAATTAATTTATTTACCTGTTTTTAACAAGGTGAGCATCCTGCTTATAAAAGTGAAATGCTTACCCCTTCACTCAAAATTACAAAAGCGCAAGATAAGGTTTACCCCCTCCCTCCCTCTCTCTTCCTTCTCATCAGTGATTAGGCTGTCACATTAGTTTTATTACGTGAGTTAATGAATAAGCAGAAGAGCAGATGAACTCCAGAGTATTAAAGACCTAGTCTTTGTGCAGTTCTTGATAGAAAACTGAAGGAAGGAGGAAATAATATTTCTTTTGCGAGTGCCAAACCTTTTTGGCTGGTGTTCTGCAAATGAGCCCTGCATCCTCCCTGAGTGCCACTTCTCTCCTCTACCTGATCTGCTGCACTTTCTGCTCCCTACTCTGTGCTCCTTGAGCAAGCTGCTGCTCTTCTTTCTCCTTTCTGCCCTGTACTCCTTACCTGATCTGATGCTTTGTTTTCTCCACTGTGCTGCCCGTCTCTTCCCCAAGCTGCTATATGCCACCCCTGCTCTAATGTGTTCCCAAATAGAATATGCAAAGTTTTTCATAAGGTAACAGGATGTCTATCAAAGTTGGGTCTTTAAAAATATGTAGCAGTTTGAAACTTGGAGTAACATACTTTTTCTGGGCACTTGTTTCATTTTTATTTTGCTTTCAAATTTTTCATTCTGATTTGCTGACAGGTGATTGGGTGTGATGATCTGATGTGATCAGTTTGACCAATAGAACAGGGTAACTAAGTTGATATTGCTTTAAAAAAAAAGAAAAGGAAAAGACAAGCACAGCTTTTTCTTGTATCTCTGGCTTATGACGACTGAAGTGATGCATGCATCCCTACTATTTTTGCAATCCTATGTTTAACTGGAAAAATGCTACAAGTGCATTTGCCAAACTAATTCTTCTAAGTATGTAGGTGAAAAACTAATTACTTCTGAAGTAAATTGGCTGCTAATACATTTTTAAAAGTTGAAATTTAGGCATGATAAAATGTGCTTATTTATTTAGCTTTGCTATTCGCACTTCAGCAAAGATATAACAAATACTTGTATAGATTTGTACCTGTGGAATTTTTTGTTTCTGTGTAGTTTGGGTTTTGTTTTTGATAAACCTTTATGCTCTAACTTCTGGAAGAGAGATTTTCATTTGTGGTATTTTGTATGCGTTTTTGCAGATTAACAAACTTTGATTTTTTTTTTCCAATGTATAACCTTTATTGTATATTTTATATAAATAAATAACAGAGAGGTGAAAAACCCATGCATGATTCATTGCTTCTTTTTGTTGCTAACACTTAGGTCAGATATTTAAATGTGTGTGCATTAAGCTGTCTGAAACTTTTAAAAATGTAACACCCTTTTCTTGCCGCATTCATTAGTGTAGATTCTTTTGATTTTTATTGTGTTGCAGACATACACATTTCCGTTTAAAGCCATTAGATGCACATTACTATCAGCTCACTTAATCTGTGCTTATGTCTAGGGGTTTGTAATGTGCTTGCTGTGCAATGTGATTTTTTGAGGGTAGACCTGTCAGTGTCACTAGGGTTCTGCACGTGTTCACCTGGGCAGATTACATTGCAGTCGGTGTTAGTTTGACAAACATAATCACTTCTTTAAAGTGGTGCTTTGGACACAGACAGATCATAAAAGAGCCTGCTGAGGATCACATACGTGCTCTTTCAGATAGCAGTGCAGCATATTTCAGTGAAATCCGACATGGCGATTATTTAAACTTGTAATCCTGAATTCCCCTTACTACTACACACTTCAGGATAGTTAAGTCTTGAATGCCATTATGTTTGTGTAAACTTATACACCAGCCAGAAAGCAGTTATTGACCCTTAGCCCAAAGAATTTTGGATATAGAATAGTTTAATACAGTGATACCTTGACTATTAATGGTCCTTCCACTGTCAGAATACTATTTCAAGGCTGCTGATGCCTTAAACAGTATGTCCACAAGCATGATCAATCTCACTCTTCCCACCCCCCCTTCACTTCAAAATGACTGAAATGAAATGAATTTAGCAAACTTTTAGATTTAGTTTATAAGAATTTCAATGGTAATCTTTTCACATAACTAAGGCAAAAATAATAGATTCATCTATCTATTTTAATATTTTGCAAGCTAAATGCAGCCTCTCTGTGATGAATTTATGCAGTAAGAGTTTTCAGAAACGATATGAATAATTTTACATTGTTTTAATCAAATGCTGCACAATTTAAGACTAAGCCGTCAGGTTGAGCATTGATTTGCTGTTATGACACTTAGAATGAAAATTGTCTTGAATGATTTAAACTAAAATCACACACCTAATGTGTGTGAAGCCCTAGGGAGCAAGGGGTTATGTTTGTATTTTATCTTCTTTTATTTTTTTTAAAGACCATTCTTCATGTCAGGGGTTAGATCAAAGCTATTTTACATTTGCATTAATCTTGTTTTGACTTGTGTTTAGAGCTCTTAGCTTTCAGTTATTCTGATTGGTTTATCCTTGCATGTTCACTGTCCCGGTTGCAGCATGAAGCGTGCCAGTTCTCTGAATGTTCTTAACATGGGTGGCAAGGCTACTGAAGATCGTTTTCAAGTAAGAAGCCCTCTGATATTCTTACACAAGTAGATGCATTAGCAGGGTTCGGGCCGAAGAGCATGAGAAATAGTAAGGTGTTAACCTTTTGGGTATCATTAAAGCTATAGTACAGCAGAGCACTCTAAGAATGTGCTGAAGTCCGTTTCCATTTAAACATTTAGGCACCTGCTTAATTTGGAAGTACCCGTCTCATTTCAGTTAATGGCAAACAGGTGCTTATCATATCCCAAACAGATTCTGAATTGAAACCTGCATTGCCTGGTGGAGTGGATGCGAAGTTCTGGAATCTCGCATACTTGCATTATAGTCATTTATAAAGGAAAACTTGCGAAAGTTAAGTGTTAAGTATTTTGTTTAAAGCAGCATCTCCCAAATAGCCAGTGACTCCAGACAGTGGGCTTCCTCAAGTCCCAGCACTTGAGTGGCTTCTGAGGGTACACAAGAGCAGGGCTTAAATTTGTCTAATCTGTGATGGTAGGTGTTTGTCTGCCAAAACCTAATCTTCATATTTTGCCTAACTATTCAGTGTGCCTGAGCACTGCTTCCCATATCTGTTTTCACATAATAAAGTCACCATTTCATATGTTGTCAAGGTAAGCCAATAATGTTCTGTGCTCTAAGCAGTGTTGTGCATCTTACTAACACAGTAACTGCAACTAACTTCTGGGGGGAATATTAATCACTTCATAACTAACATGCTGTAGTGTAGGGTCCACATCTTTATTTACCCCAGGGTAATAAAACAAGAAAAAAATGCCCACACTGCGTGAATCTCATTTCACTGTTGAGTGGCATAAAGGTGTCTTTCCAGTGTTAGCCCTAAAGGCTTTACTGCAATTTTCCAGTTCTCTAAAATTTATGTAAAGATGTTCCTTAATATGAACTTTGACCAAAAAAATCCACTGAGGTAAACCATAACTCTGCAACCAGTGATAAAGAAATGCCTGGGACTTTCAAAATGTGACCGCCTGGCCTTAGGGGCCTTATAATAATGGGTCTTTTCTACTGTGTACGATCGATGCCGTGTCAGTGAGGTATAGCTATCATATGTAATGTGTGAAGTACTGATGAAGTTTTTACAAATTCCCTCTTTGCCAAGCGCAGAGACACTTGACAGTACCTCCGGGTGGTCAGCTGTTTCTCTAATAAGCATCTGAGTGAGGTATAGAAGGGGTGCAATCACAAGACGACTATTTAGTATTGGTGATTGTGTCAGGGAAAAATGCTTATGTAAGGTTCCTTTTCATATCCTGCTGTCACAGGATGTGAAGGTAAGCAATACAGACTTCATCAATTTCAGCAGGTCTTGAGTTTCTTAACATTTTTAAAAATCAGACTCGATAAAAATGCTTGAGATCTGGACTCCTGCATAAATATTTTTTTTTCTTATTTATTTTCATACAGGAACGAAATAATTGTCTGACAGACTCAAGAGCGCTGAGTGCCAGTCACACTGATTTGGCACGTTGAGGTTCTTGGACAGAAGCTAGCTAAAATTCCTTTGTGAATAAAGAAGCACTGAGACTCAAAGCTTTGGTTCCTCCTCACTTACTATAGGAACATCTAGTTCATAGACTCTGTTGCAATGGACTCTTGTTTTTACTTTTCTAAACAGTGACTATTTTAAATATAGCGTTAGGGAATATTTTCTTCTAAAGAAAACGTATATATTGCTCGTTGCACTGCTATCAGTCATGTTACTTACACTGATTTCTGTTAACAGATCTGAATTTCACAGCAGTCAGAAATTGGAAAAAGACAACTCTTTAAAATGCATTAACATGCAACGGAGTATAACAGCTTCCAACTGATATTTGAAAACACAGTAAAAATGGAATATGTAGCAGTAAATTTATATAGTGCTGGGACAAGAAAAGTATAAATGTGCGCATTGCTGTATAAATTCCCAGTTGTGTGCTGTACTGCTGGGGGGCTTTCCCTTGCATCACTGATGGTCTTCACTCTAGATACTTCATGTAAAAAACAGAGCTGAAACATGGGTTCCTTAACCAACAGGTCTAGATGCTACATTTTGTCACCAAAACGGTTAGCTACCTTCACTCCTAGAAGGCATATACAGCAACACCACTAGCTTTGAAATGCACTTTTGTTGCAGATTTTAAAGTAATCAATGGGGGGAGAGTACTGTATAGGTTGTTCTGATGGGGGGGCGGGGGGCGGAATAATCATTATAACCTATATTTCGTACAGTCAGTGCATATTTAGGCTTTGGGTTGCAACTGTCCCAGAGCAGCTGCTGCTGCTAAGATAAACTTCCCTGACTCAGGTTGCTAACTCTTTTCTTGCCTGTCCACTGGCGTTCTTAACTCTTAGCAGCCTTGTTGGGCTGGAAATGCTCCTAATTTTTCTCTGATGATCAAAGGCTTGCCTCTTCCTGTTGATGGCACCAGGAGCAAATGAAGCAGGTGACTCTAGGCTGTTATACTGTGAAGAGGACCACTTGTAAAACTCTGCTGATGTTTGTTTAAGACATTTGGGGCCCCACTGAAAGCATCACGGCTTTATCTAGTGGACAGATCACACTTTTGATCACCCACCCTTGGTTTTTTCTATATGCAATGAATAGATATGTTGTCTGCATATTGGATTGCTGCTGGAACAGAGTATAGAACATCAAAGTATTTTGTAGACTAACATTTTTGGTTTTGTTTTTCTATGAAACGTGATTTTTAAATCAAAACATTTAAGTTTTCATCTTTTGCAAAGTTTTGCTACTTACATGCAAGTTGGAGGAGAAAATAAATGTGTGTCTGTATTTGTAAGTATAGTTACGGAGCTGGAAAGTACAGAACAAAATTAACATTGGGGAGAAGTTGGAATGCTATGCCAAGATAAGCCTAGCACCAAGGGAAATGGGATAGAAGGTGGCAACAACGTGTATTTGTTTCGCTGTGAAACAGTCATTAGAATGAGAACTTTTTAAATGTAAAAATTTGACCAATTTGCATCTGGTTTTAAAATGTACAATGGCTGATGCGAAAAGCTGTGTATGTAATGCACTTGACTGTGTACCATGAGGTACTTCCTAAGCATCTCTAAAGAAAAAACTGTTAGGTAAAGGGTATGCTCACCATGAAGACTGTTTTAACATGCTGAGACATGATGCTGCTAATGCATAGAGAGTGTAGTGCAGAATAGTGCAATTCATTGATGAACCTGAGGGAGAACAAGTTGTTGCTCTACTCTTTTAGACATAGCTAAAGGGGACTTGAGTTTTTTAAAATTTTTAAAGAGGTTTTTATATATTTGTTTTCCTTTTAGTAATGTCTCAAACATATTTGTGGATGAATTCAATGATCTGCTCAAAGTCTGAATGTCCAGCTCTGTAGGACTTGCTAGGCTGGGCAGACCTCCGGGATGGGCAGATGGACATCTTTCCTGTCGTGTACTAGTTGCACAGGCTCACAGCAGAGATCTCCACCCAGTTGCTGTCTGTCCTGTGGTCTGGAACGCCCTGTCCCTTTGGCAGTAACTGAGGGGTTTCTGGTGCGGTGGCACCTAAAAAGCTGTTGTTCCAGCACCTGCACAAAGCCAGTCCAGTAGGAGTGGCACAGGGGAGAGCCTTGCTCAAGTCATTTACACAGAATAAGATGTTTCAGTCCTGTGAAGAGCCTCTATAGGAGCCTGACTTCCTAGAAATTGAGCTAGTCTGACCCAAACAAGTCATTTCTCAGTGCAATCTAAGCACTTGCTTCCAAGCCTTTGTCTTTCAAATCTGAATGAAAATAGTTTTGAAACCTCTTATCACAACTGGAATTTGTGTAAATAGAAATTGTTAGATGTATTTAAACATAGGTTGGGCTAGCAAAAATAGGACTATTTTTATGCTTTTGACAACTGACGGCTGTAGTACGGAGTTTCGAGTGTGGGGAACCTTGTTATTTTAGGTTTTTAAATAGCCCTTGTCCTCCTGAGCTTTCAAATGTCTGGAGTGCTTACAAAGAATTCTTGCAGGGGATGATGAGCATAAAATGTTGGCCTGTAACCCATCAGACAAAACCGCTCCTGCGTCTGTTTGCAGAAGTGTGTAATTCTTGCTCATGCCCATGTTCAGAGACGCATGAATCTCAAGGCACCGTTCTTTCTTAGCACACAAACCCCTATAACAGTAGCCAAATGAGAGAAACTGTTGAACAGCATTACAGTGTTCATCTTAAGCCAATATGCTACTTGCAGGTAAGAGAACTTTGTAAAGTCTGAAAATAGATCTTAGCCTCAGTTTCTTCTTGTGTTTAAATTATTAAAAACTTACACATCTATTCTGAGTGGCTGTCTGAATTTACCTGGTTCGGGCAGGAACATTTCCATTTTCAGTTTGTTATATTCCCTGCCTTGCTCCGGTTCTAGCTGACCCCATGATGGATGCCTGTGTTGTGACTGGAGGATGGTTCCTGGATCTTGCTGACCAAAAGCGAATAGTTAGACCCTCTGAATTGAATGAAGTAGAGGGAAGGTGCGAACCCTGTGCAGCACTTCCCTGCCCTGGTCCCTGCTTGCTCAGTACAGTGGGGTCAACTAAAAAATTGAATATGGATCATTTTAAAGAGGGCCAGTTTCTTCTAATTCTTCCTATGCTACATCAGAGTTGTTTCTTCTTAGGATTTAAGTTATGAAAGTATCAGACATAAGAGATTAATGATCCAAAGGTGCTCCTCACCCCTGCATCTTTCCTGTCATATACTAGTTGCTAGCAGTACTGCCAGCATTTTTCTTGAGTTAAGATCTAACGAAATACTGTAAATGTGGCAGTCTTTCTCATAACTGTTAGCTTCCTTTTGGGATTTTTGATCCAACAAAAGGTTTTATTTACCATTGATCCTCAGCAAAGCATTTAAAACAAACCGTGGAAGACCAGATTTAGATACCTTCTCGTTGCACTGCTTTTTTTTTTTTTTTTTTTTGGTTACTTTTATAGCTAAATGATGGTAATTCACGAAGGTTAAAGCTTGACAAATATCTATGGTTAAACTGTACAGTTAATTCCACTGATTTCGAAAACAGGAAACAAGGTATGGCTGCGTTTTGTGTGTGTGTTGTTAAATGGGGCAGGCAGCGATTCTCCAAAAGTGTGTTTGTGGGGTGATGGGTTCAAAGCGCACAGTTTAGGTTTTGTTACACAAGTCATTGACTTAGATCTGAAAGCTGCTAGGAGTCGAGTCGGGTTCTTGTATTTCCACGGCTGCCGAAACTGAAGGAATACGAACCGCGCGGAAGGTGAGATGTTTACAGTTCTGTTGTACAGACTTTGCATATCGTACAAATGCACATTTGAAATATTGATACAGATGCTCTTTTAAAACTGGTTAGTTTGGGGGGAATTGTGACGCTTTAAACTCGATTACTTTGGGGCATTTGCTGCCTCAGTACTTCAAATGGTAATAATCATCGGGGGGGGGTTGTTAAAGGCCTTTACAAGGCTAACTAGTCACCCATGCATGCATGAATTAAGCTCAGAAGGTCTAAGGTACATGCTTTTGAGAAAATGAAGGCTTGTGTTGATAGACAAATGGCAAAGCTGTTTATATCCCATTAATTTGTTATAGCCTCCAGATAAACAGTATTAAAAAATTATAGCTAAATTTCAGTTATCGCTATAGCTACGTCTTAGCACTGAAATGACCTAGGACTGTATATTTGGAAATTTAATTATACAACAGCAAAAGCCAAATTAGATTTGAGTTGCATACAGTTTGGGATAAACATGGTGAAAACTTCTAAAATAAAAATGAGAAATCTTTGGGGTCTCTACATTCATCGGATGTGTTGTTCTTGAATTTATGGCTGCGAGTGTTTGTTTTCTTTTTATTTGAAATGTATGTAAATGTCTTGCAGAATTTGGAGACTATAGTACAATAGTCAAACAGAGCTGAGGCTCTATGAGATCACAGAGTATTTTGTGTATCTGTGGGATGAGAGATCGATAGCATCCTGAAGGATAATTATGGCACTTTTTCTTTTTAGGAAGAACTGACAAAGATTTTTAGTTTTCAAATGTGTGGACTGGATTTATAAAAACAAACGAAAGAACAGAAAACCCACCTAGTTTAAAATCTTCCAAGACTGATTTCAGGGCTTTGTATCTCAGTCACTGAGTATCTTACCCTTTGTTACAAGTGCTGAAGGAGAACAGGATTCTGAATTCAGCTGAGAAGAGATAAGAACTAAAAAGCTTCTTTAAAAAAAAAACCTTAAATGTAAGAGCAGTAATTCACTGAGATTTAAACACAGAACTTGGTATGAAATAAAAATTGAGGCTTTTTAGCCAGCTCTATTGTGTGTGTCACATTAGTTTTGTAATGCACTTTTCCTTACGACCATCATTTTCTTTGCAGAGAACAATAATTTTGTCTTGCTGTTCTAGTTTTCAAAAGCAACCTGTTCCAAGAAGTGCATATTGTGTTTTCTTTGAACGCCTCTTGTTTGTATCTTGTTACAGAGTTGTGGTCTGATTTGAAGCTGTTTAGACATTTCTAAAGTGTTGTGTAGCATTTATTTGCAAAGTGCAAAAATAAAATATTTAAATAGAGTCTTAACAATAGTTCTATATGCTAAATTGGGCATATTTGTGCATTTTCGAATGTAAATCATGTAAAGCACGTAGTGTGGACTTTTCCTGTACAGAAGCAAACCTCAGTTGTGAAACCCAAAGATGAATAAAGTTGTATGAAGGGAAGGTTTCTAAATAAAAGTGCATTTCTTACTTAACAGAAGAGGCTACCGCTGGAACACCCAGGACTTGCAGTGGAGAATTACCCAGTCTTAAATTCTGCTGAAATAAATTCCCCTTCTAGCTCCCCCTGAAATAACTGCTTAGCAAAGCCAGCTTTCCTGGGTTTGACACAGCCTGACATGTCTTGGATTCAAGTGTACTAATTATGCAACTACATTGTTACAAGGCATATAGTTCTAAATTACACAAACCCTAAAAAGAGGTAATGCAGAATAAACAAAATACAAAGCCTCCTCTTCAAGTACTATCTGGAAATTTGTAGCTTAAAATTGGACTGAAAATTGAGTAGATTTAAGTTGGGTTTTGCATTGCATTCTGGATCATACTGGTTGCAATGATGTTTAGACAAGGTCCACCTGGTTCCTCTGCTGTGGAGTACTCTTACAGGGGACAAAATCACTTGTTTCCCGAGTTTTAGAGCTGCTGGTATTGCCACTCGTGTTCCCAGGCTTTGCAGGTGTGCAGGGGTCCCTGATGCATGAATTATGTCTTTATTATGGTCATCTTCAGGGCCTGCATCTTCCTAACCATTCCCACCTGACTTTCTAGACCAAAAAGTCAGTACCACTGGTATTAGCAGATCACAGCAGTTGCAGATGTGTTGTGGTTTAAGAAGAAAAATCTGTTTAAAGGAAGTCCCTACACCTATTTTATTTAGAAGGAAAGAATTGGGTAGCTGTGTTAGTCTGACGTTAGGTAAAAGGTAGGAGACTAACCGGTTACCTTATTAACCAGTCTGAAGTGCCGCCCTGCCCTACCTTCCGCCATGTAGATGTAGTTCAGGCCTAAACTAAGAGCTGCTCTGATATGCTTACCAAAATAGCAGCAATCAGCCTCTCTAATAATGCGTGAGGACAGGGCATTGTAGTAAATCTTAGACTTCAGTTTCTAAAACATGACCAAAGCAGCTTTTGGATTCTTGGGAATGCTGTGTTCAATAGCCCTACCACTTTTTTTCTGCAAATAGCTAGTGACTAGAGACAAGCAAAACAGACTATAGACCTGTGATGCTAGACACTGTACCAAGTTTGTGAACAAGAAAAAGTATGTAACTGTAACAAATTGAACTGTGCTTTTTGATAAAACTCAAATTATTCACTTGGTGAATCTGTCTGCTGCTAGGAGATGGAAGGTCTTGCAGATCTGGAAATGTGAAGGGATATTTTACTTGAGAGATCACACTTTTCCAGACAGAAGTCACTCTCACTTTACTGCCGTACAGTATCTAGTAACAGTTGCAAAGATGCAGACAATCGATCAAACTCTTCTCTTCCCTGATCACTCTCTCAGGCGGAAGGTTCATAGACATAAAGCTAGATACAGACAGTGAATCTCACCCCAAGGCTGCGTATATTCATAAAAAACTTTTATTGCTGGAATATGTACATATTGGGCAATCCCGCGTGAATACCTGAAGGGAAATGCCTTTCTTCATTGGTATGAATTTCTGGAGGAGATCCCCTGTAACATTTTCACAGTGGGCTTTTTACACTTACTCCCTTGACCCCTTCCAAATGTACTGTATAGAGGCAAAAAGATAGAGGCAGATGAGGAGCAAAAGCTACTCTTAAAGTTCTCACGCCTCCAGGATGCTGCAGTGCAGGTCTCTGCAAATTCTCTGCCTGTGGTGTTCGGCTGACCATCAATCTCATCAACAGTTGATTGGACCATGTTATCCCAAGTGCTGGAGAAACTCTCTTATCCAATGAGCTAGAAGAAAAACATAAGTAAACTTTACGTGCATAAAAACTTGATGTTTTGCACTACACCTGGTAGGAGTCTGCAAGTAAACATCCACTAGAAATTAAACTCCCCATGTCTTTTAAAAGTTTTGCTACCTTAAAGTCGTGCTCTAGAGACTGAGGGCTGGAACGTCGGGTGACTGTACTTTATGCACATCCTCTCTAGCTATGCCTGTGCCATAGAAGTGGAAATCTGAGGTACTGCTAAGGAAAAGAAAAAATCTGGTGTGCTCTAGCCCCTCCTATCCTTATGCTCAGTGCTGAGGGGAAACAGGCTGTGCATTCTTCTCTTCCTTTCAGCTGCTTTTGGTTCACATTAGTGTGGCTTCCAAGGGATTATTCCATTGTCATCCTCATTAGATGGTTATCAGGACCTGATGCAAATGTGGGAGGAAGTAAGCTGGTCTCTCGCTGGTTGACACTGCAGCTCTGACTCAAAGGAAGAGAAGACTCAAAAACTCAAGTCTTAAGGGTGACTGCTTCAGACAATTTAAAAAAGCATCTTTGCATCTCAGGAAAAAAAAGAAAAGGTCCTACAGAAGTTGTTTTCTCCATCACTGATCTCATAAAATGTACCACTTGGATTTGCACTCACCACCATTACACCATCTGGGTAGACCTCCAGGACATCTATTTCCCTACTGCAGTCAGACCTAATAGGAAGGTCCCATAGATACCTGAGATTTGTACTGCTCAGGAACACTGCTCATCCAATAGAGCCTATTTGTAATCCCAAGAGTCTTCACCCAGGTTCTCACAGTAGTAGCCATGTACTTCAGACAGCAAGAGGCAGCAGTCAGTCAATCTGTACCAAGCCAACAGGCAAGGTAAAAGGCCCTTCTCCCAGCTGCTGTTCTGACACCATCACGACACAACTGTTCCACCTTTACAACTGTTGGTAAGTCCCAAGTCTAATTTGTCTCCACATAAAAAAAGATTATAGGTCTTTGGAAGTTGACAGCCAGCCCTTGGCCATGTACAAGCGTTGCATTTCTACAAGGAGAATCGCAATTCTCCAGGTAGAAACCCCAAGCATACAAATGTTCACAAAAGTTTCTCCCAGACTAAAACTGGCAGTTCCAGGAGAAAACTAACCCACCTGCAACCTGGCAGAAGTTGCTCCCAGGAGAGTTTCTTATACTTCTGCATTTCTTTAGCAGCTATTTCAACTATACTGTAACATCTGCTACATCTTTTAAACATGTACCCTTGCCCATCAGTTTGGTCAAAGTCCATCTAACTTTTCTCACCCAGCAGCTCTAAAATTCCTCGAATGACTGACCAAAAGATTTCTGCCCCACAGGGGAACAAACCTGGTTCTCATGCATCTGAGGAGGTTGCCTTTTGAACCCATTGTTCCATCTTTCCATGGAAGTGGGCTTTTCTAAACAGCTACGGTTGTTGCAAGGAAAATGGACAAGATCCAAGCCCTTGAGGTGGATCCTGTATACGCTGTACTCTAGCCAGATAGTGTCCTTAAGAACCCACCTCAAGTTCTTACCCAAGACAGTCAGCATTTTAAATTGGGGACATCAGTTACTCTTTGCCACAATGACTCCAAAATCCATCTCCAGATATGTAGGCACTGCTGTGGAGCTGTCCACAACAAGGGTGTCCATCTGGACAAGCAGTCAAAGGAGTTAGAGATGTTACCCATAAGCAGAGCTCTCTGAACTATGTTTTTCATATATACAGATCACTCTGCTCCTTAATCCTGTGCAACTTAGACTCTTAAACCACTTCCATGGAAAGATGGAACAAGGGATTGAAAAATTAAACAGAATACAGCGTGTTTTTCTCTTTATCCCCTTGTACAGTGGATGAGAAAGGGCAGAGCTATGAATACCCTTCAGGTACTGCTAAGGCAAAGAAGGTCTCCAAGCTCAAATACTATGGTGTATGCCCCGCACACTGAGGAGCTGCAGGCAGACAACAGATTTTGAAAAACTTCAGTTACTGACAGGTAACTTCTTTGCCTTGACAAATCCTCTCCGTTTCATGAAAAATTACAGTAGTCATATGCAAGTATCTGTCAGCCATTTGATAAGTCACAGGGATGTCTACTGCAACATCGTGGGAAGGGGTGGATTTCACAGTTTTCTTTTCTCAGTTTATCATTTATAACCTTTGTTTTGGAGGAAAGCAGAAATAATATTCCATCAGACAGCTAGGAAATAACCTTACTGAAGAGTTTTATCTTCGGCACAGCTGACAGGCCATTGACTTACACGACTATATGATTCAGGGCACATCTCCCCTAGAAAAGTACATTCACCTTTGTCTCCTTACTCAAGCAACAGGGAATACTGTCATTAGTCATATAAATATGTAGGCATTATTTGAACCCTGTCAAGTTTGTGGCCTCAAAAATATCTTGTGGGAATGAAATTCTATTATTAGGTCTCAGCAGGCTTCAAAAAAGATGCAAAGAGTGTTTTATTTTTATACATACGCAAAAAGATATAAACCTTCCTGTGCCAAGCTGCAAACTGGACATAAAGTCCTGGAGACTAAGGAAAAATGAACGTTATTCCATAAGTGCATACCAGGGAATTTCTTCTACTTTTTACTGCAGCAGGTACAGATTTCTAGCAGTTACAGAAAACTGAATTACATGGTCCACCGTTCTGCTGTGGCAAAACAATTACGCTCCTTTATAAATTGCATTTAGGACACACTAACGCAAGGGAAACAAATCTGGGGTCAAGTCATCTTTCTGGATTAACTGTTGCATGTCAGTGTGCAGAAAGCCACTTACCTAAAACTGCACTGAGCTACATTTGTCTCACCCACTGCATCAGTTACCTAAATCATAAAATACAAAGTTTCAGTAAAAGTGCTCTATGAATACATATTTGCATTTATCAAAAGCAAGTTTATTTAACTGCAGCTGACTTAAGCCAAGTCAAACACTTGCTTATTCAAGCCTGAAGCTGAACTGGACTGGAGTATAAAAAGATGATAAAAGGCTTGGAAAGCAAGTCATACAAGGAGAGGCTAAAGGAGCTAGGCATGTTCAGCTTGTGAAACAGGCAGTTAAGAGGGGATATGATAGCAGTCTTCAAATGCTTGAAGGAATGGATGCTATAAAGAAGAAGGAAAACACCTTTTCTCTCTTGCTGCAGAGTAGGATGACGACTAATGCCTTGAAATTGCAGATATTTCAGTTTAGACTGGAGATCAGGAAAAACTTCTTCAGTGTCAC